AAATCTGTCTCAGCCTCTATTTTGTTTGAGAATAAACATGTTAAAACATCAGTTTCTGACTTAACATGTTTACCTGGAGGTAGGTCAGAAAGTAGTGGGGCTCCTTAGAGGGACTTGGGACAGAGTTGTGGGTGAATAAAGCAGCTAAGTTAAGCATCTTTGCTGACCAGCCCTCCAGGCCCAGTCTGGGCTGTGGGCCATGGAGGAGGCCAAAAGAGAAAGAAGATCCCAGTCACAGCCTCAAAAGGAGCAGGGGTGGGGTGGGGTGGGAGAGTGACAGTACAAGGCACACACAGAGAAAGCTCAGAGATGATGGGTCCCCACAAAGGCCCACAGGATAAAGGGAATCCAAAGAAGGCAGCAGAGAGGAATCCCTTGGGTGTTGGCCATGGAGGTGTAATTCCTGAAGGAAAGGCCCATCCCCAGGCTCTAGATGAGACCGATGACAGGTATATTTGATGGAGCTGGTGAACACATGGTCTAGTATATTTATATATTGAGATTTCTTACCAGTTTTACAAAGAAAATAATGCATGCTGCTTGTAGTATCTCAATGATAAATGTTTCCACAGAGATCTCTTTTATGAGGCAAGTGAGAGATGTCTACAAGGAAGCCATTGGCTAGAGCAAAAATCTTTAGCAGTAAAATATTCCTGGATTCTGTTTAGAAATTATAATAATATTCCAGGAAAAATTAGAGCAATTTCCTGGGGGAAAAAAATACATACATATACACACACACACACACACACACACACACACACACAGAGATATATATGTAATAGGAATACTGAAACTTAAGAAGAAACAGCCACACAAAGAAAGAAAGGAACATTCATTTGTTTAATGTTGAATGGTTTATGATGTGTCTTATTTGGTGCTTTGAATAGCTGGATGAGTTAGGGCCCTAGAGTCAGCAACATGGGTCCAAACCCTGGATCTGTGTCACCTCCCCAGCTGTGTGACCTTTGTCCGTTACCTGCCTCTCCAAGCCTCAGCTTTCTCACAGGGCTAATGAGGGGAGTAAATGGGATACTGCACATAAAATGTTCAGAGCCTGCCCCCTCTCAGAATGCACTCACTGTGTGCTCAGGCACATCACACGTCATAACCAGCCTTCCTACACAGCAACAACACTGATGAAAGATAAACAATACCCAACTTTTCTGAGCTGATACAGCCAACTGAAATATTCTCTTCCACAATGGCCACTCTGGATGCTATGCACGACTCCGATGTTGCTGCTCTGTCTTCACAATGCAATTTTTGACCCTCTCCATTGGGAATGTCCTCAGGGCTTATTTTAAGTATATGCACATATGTGTATTGTTACTGGTGGCAAATCTTGGTCCTTCTGGAGTGATTTCTTTTTTTTTCATTTAGAATTTGTCATTTAGAGCCAAATCTGATGAAGGAACATGATCAAGAGGGGACAAAATGAATGCACAGAGACTGACTTGTGAACATGTAGCTTGTAACCATCCCCAGGGGCCACTGCCAATGAGGACTCCCACAGACGTTGTGTGGACAGCGACGCTAAGAGCACAACTTCTTGAAGGACGTCCCTCATCTAAGCTTGACTTTTTTAATATGATTTTTTTAAACATAAACGTCTCATTATTTCACTTAAGCTATTGGCCTCTCTTCACACTTGAGATGGGGAGTGTGAGGGAGGAAAGGAAGAGGAAAACACCTACGATAGAAGAAAGGGGTTGGGAGGCGAGAGAAAGGCCAAAAAGTGAGAGGATAAGTCCTGGCAGAGAATCAAACCAACCTAGAAGCACCATAAAGAAACTAGCCTTGTCGGCAAGAGGCGTTAATTATAGTTTGTTTCTTAAGACATAGCTCATAGTACTACTCGTGAAGCACTACATCGTGGGCCACAATAAACTTTCCAGTCAATGCTAAATCATCAAGTTTCTTGTGTTCTGAGAAAATGTGTTTATTAAAATACCTTAGCCTTTGGAAAAGCTGAACCACTTTTTAGAACATGTATCTTACTTTCTCCTTCATATTTTGGGCGATCATTCATCACCCGCTCATGTCCTTGCTCCTGTCTCCTCGAGGCTCCTGGACAAGCAGGGGCTTGAGGGTGAGGACTTGTGGGAAAGGAAGGAAACACGAAGAGCTCTCCTAAGTGAATAACGTGATTAACAGAAAGTATAAAAGAGGCTTCTTCCCCTGTTCACAAAGCAGATTTTCTTCAGAAGCTGGCAGGGCTCCCAGACAATTTGCTCTGGGACAGACTCTGGCTAACGGCTGCCAGCACCGGCCTCGGGGGCCTCCAGCCTGATGAGTGTGGGCAGCCATGGGGAGGGAGCCCTAAAGCGGCGGGAGGTGGGGGAAGGCCTTGGGGGAGTTGAGCACCAGGCAGGGTCAGCGTGGGTCACGCAACAGGAGATTCAGCCGTGAACCCAGAGCAGGCTGGGCACTCTCCCATCTACCTCATGGCCACTGAAACAGCCACAGAATGGAGAAGCTGGCTCCAGCCTCCAAGATGGAGCCTGAGTGCTTACAGTGTTGGGGAAGGATTTGCAAAGAATGAGGCGGCCCCCCACCTGGCCAAGGGCTCAGGCTATGTTATGCTGCTCGGAGCAGCTCTGAGGCCAGAGCAACACTGTTCTCCCGCTTCCTGGCTGGCCCTGGGCTCTGACCAGGCCACAGGTACCTTGTGCATTTTTTGAGGAATGATCCAGAGGTACACTCCCTGGGTCCTGCATTCAGCGCTGTCTCCGCAGCAGTGCCAAGCCCCCCACTTTCAGCCTCACCTGGGTGGTGTTTCAGCAAACACTCACTCTGGAGTGCTTCAGCTGAACTGGAAATCAGCAGGCATTCTAGGAACTAACTGTGTTGGTGGGGAAAGGAGAGAAGGAGATGGAGGCTGTCAGCTTCTGAAGCTGCTCCCAGTTTACCTGCTAGGTTTCAGCTCAGCCAAGACCTGATTCCTGATAGAGGGACTTCTTAAAAACGATTTTCCCCTATAATGGAGTTTTGAAAAGGTTATAGCCATAAATTATTCAGGGTCCCTAGCTGATTCAGCCTCCAGTGTTTCCAGATATCCTTAAATGGATTCTTGGTTAGCTTGGATATTAACAGGAAAGGTAGAGACACAGGTACCTCTCTGTTACCTTAAATGTCCGCCAGCCAGTCTGCCCTGAGGTTATATGAAGCTGAGAACTGGTAGCCAGGGTAGCTGGTTGACCAACCGCTTCCTGCTTTCTCAGCTCTTTCTCCTGATGGACTTGCCTTACTACGTGTGTGTGTTTCGTCATGAAACTAATTCATGATCATCTCAAAATATTCAGAAGATACAGGATGTGTAAAGAATGCCACCAATTGGGAATAAGCATAGTTGACATGATAAGTCATATTCCTCATGATTTTTTCTGTGCTACTATTTTGAAGTAAGATTATAGTATGCATATTCTTATAACAACTTTTTCAGTCTACAACAGATCAAAGTCTTCCCATGTTAATAAGTATAGATCTATGTTATCACTTTTAATGACTGTTTAACAATCCAGGATAAAATGTGATGTGGTTTATTTAATCAATTGCCTATAGTTAGGCATTTCAGATGTCAAGAAGTTATTGCTGACAGAAACAAGAACCTTTATATAAATACCACTGAATCCTTGCCAGATCATTCCCTTAACATGAATTATTCAAAATGGAATTGCTAGGTCAAATCCCACTATCTTTTTAAAAGCTTTGATGCATCCTGTCAAAATTTTCCTACAGAAAGTCTCCACCAATATTCTACCCTTCCGACAGCAATGAAACTGCCCGTTTTCCTCCTCCCACCCCACAGAGGGCATTAAGAGTCTTTTCCATCTTTTCCAGTCTGATGGTTGTAAATCTCCCCCATTTGCTGTTCTAATCTGGTGTTCAGAGTTCTCTCTTCTCCCTCTGGCACCTTCTGTCATCTCCTAGAGCTCTTTTTCTACCAGCATCCCCCTCATTCAACAAGAAACATCAATGGAACACTTCCTAGGTGCCAGCACCATGCTTATCATCAGTGCTACAGGAAGGGTACCATCCAAGTGCACTGGGGGTGGAGGGGGCGGCCTGGCGGAGCTGCAGAGAACTTCACAGGGGAGGTGATATTCCTGTCAGGCTTGATGGAATGATGAGCGCCAGATGGCTAGGAAAAGGCCACTTAATGCAGAAGGAAGAGTAAAAGTAAAGTCACCCTGGCCTGTGTTCCTGTGAGGCCTGGAGGTGGATGGGTGAGAGGGCCAGACTGAGGCAGGCTCTGGGTGCTGTACCGTGGAGTTCAGATTTGATCCTGTAGAGATGGTAGATAGTTAAAGGAAGGGTTTTTAGGAGAGAACTGTAATATGGTTTGTGTTTAGAAAGTCAATTTTGGCAGCAGTGTGAAGGAGGAAATAAAGGACAAAGAGAGGGAGAGAGAGGGAAGCAGAAAGACCAATGAAACGGCCATTGCGATAGTTTGTGTGATAAAGCTGAGAGTGGGGAAGAAGCCATGGGGGGTAGGGATGTGCAGCAGAGGAATGGACTAGATGAAATTTCCAGGACTGGTGACTAGGTAGAGGAAGTGGGAGAGAAGTACAAGAAATCTTGGAAAAGAGCAGAAGATGTGATTTTGGGCAAAAAAGAAGAAAAGATGGATTTGGTTTTGAACATGCCCACTTGTCTTCAGATAGATGTATCTAAAGGGAATTATAATTATGGATTTGGGACTCTGCAGAGAGGCTGTGGTTGTGGAAACAGAACTAGGAATCTTTGGGTCTCAAATCTACACACTGATTGCCAGGAGCCCTTCTTCCAGCCCCCATCTGGGCCTGATACCCTGTATTCTCTTCTCTATCCTTGTCCCTGACCTGTGAGCCCCTTTCCCTTTTCTGAGAGGTACCCAGTTTGTTATGAGAAAGAATGGATCCAATGTAGCCAATTCATATAAAAATTTGAAAAACAGACGATCTTATAGTGCAAATGATAAGCTTTCTTTTAAGTTGCTTTTTTTTTTCTTTTTTAAGAAATGACTCCTTACTGGTGTGGCTAATGGATGGGAGATCTTTGGAGAACAAAAAGCCTTTCTGAGACCTCTGAGTTACACCAAGAAAAGCGCCATCCAACCCTGCCTCTGGGTGGGGCTCTGCTTCCCACTGGAAGTTCTGACGGCACAGGCTCAGCCGGCCACAGAAGGACTCAGCCACTGAAGGGACAGCTCCTAACAATGTCTGCCTTAACAGAGCCTGGCCACCGGAGACCTGCTCCCCAGAGCCAGGTGGAGCCCCGGGACCTGAAGAGGAACACGGGCTGCAGTGCCCTGCCATTGGCCGGTTGGCCTCTCAGCTGTGATTTGAGCAGCTCAATTAAAAGGATAGGCAGCTGCTGTCTAAATTTAAATTGCAACATGGTAAAACAAATCTGGGCAATTTTAGTGTATGCTCTTTAGCATCTTAGTGTCTAGAAACACAAAAGTGCTTTTGAGAGTCATGCTGGGATGGAAATGTGAGTGAGTGGCAGTTCGCAGCTTCATTTTTCAGCAGCTGACGTTCCAACTGGTTTCCAGATCAGGAAAAAAACCTCACTCTGATCTGACTAGAAATTGTTTTTTTTCTTTTAAGCCTATCTACTTTTCTCATTGGGTCCCTTCAAACCCTTATTCTCTGGTGGTGCAACAAATCAGAAATGCCTACTGCTATTTGGTAACACAGCTCTGTCTGGGCCCACAAGTCAGGAACTATCAGCCACACATGCTGCTAGAACAGTCCAATTCCACTTTGTGGTACATCAGGAATGATGCAACAGAGGCATCTCACAAAAGCAATGAATGAACAAACAAACCTCTATTATTTCAGTAATAAGGACTTGACTAAAAAAGGAGGTAATTTACTTAGAAATATTTTGATCCATATAAGTATTACTGTTGCAGGTTGCATGATTTTCCCCTTTACAAATATGGGTATAATTAGCTACAAGTAAAAAAACTGAGGTTTCTTAAACACACAGGAATCTGAGGTATAGAACATATCCTAATCCCAGGCACTCGGTTAAAGAGCCATGCAGAACATGGGAATAAATGGCTCCTATCAAGTGCTGAAATTACATAAGATAAATCATAGCTAATGCTCTAGAAAGTTCCTGCTACAAATGCCCAAAAAGTTCTTTATTTAAAATGACATAAACACTGTAAGTGAGGGAGTGAGGCAGAAGGGAACAGAGAATGAAGAGACTATGGATTGTTTCCCATCCCTTATTCAGGATAGCATGATTCTAAGCCCAAATTTTCAGAGTTTCTGGGCAGTGGAAATGAGTTATACCATGAAGGAAGAAAAGGGAAGTCTCCTGGAAAAGGGAAGCTAGCTTCCTTAAGGACAGCCACCCTGATAAACTGGCAAGTTTCTTGTAAGTATTCATGGAAAAAAAATCTCCGCCAACATCCATGATCAAAACAGCTTCCTCATTTAGGTCAACACATCAAAAACCATTGACTCTCGCAGTGAAATCAACCTAGAAACAGCTCACTTCACTGCTTGCTGCCCTGGCTTCCAAGCCAGGTGAAGGTGCACAGGACTCAGACCATCTGTGTACACACGGAAGCTGTTAGGGCCTCCATGTTTCTATGACCTCCGAAATCTTCCTCTGTTAACGTGAAGACATACTAAATGCTGAGGCTTTTCTATGTTCATACAAACAAAAACTAATCTAAAAATAGTTGAGTAGCACAGACCTTGCTTCATTTAAAACTTTTCTCTTTCCATACATACTACATTATACTACTTCCACCTTAGTTTATATCTTTAATATTTCCCCACCATTTCCCAAAATGTGTAATTGCTGAAGCTCTTGAAATACAACTCCAGCAATATTTAGGCAGATTTAAAAAGACACTACTGTGAATGTGAGCTGCTTCTTTTTCTCACCCTGCAAACTTGGCACCTTCATGTGCCATAAATCTTGATGTGGCAGCCACAGAACCGGACTGTTTTCTGCTGGGACCTGTACATTTGCCACCGACATGGAGCCCTGCCCAGGTCTGAGAACACCATGCTCTCCGGCACTCAGGGCAACCAAGCCATTGTGTCCACAACGTATCAGAAAGTTTTCAATTTAACAAGCTCAGTTCATATATGAGAATCAAGGAAGATCAACTAGAAAAAAGTGCCTCCTTGCACATCTGCCTTGATTGGGAAAGCTGGCTGTCAGAGAAAGGATTCTAGAAAGGCAGTTTATGGAAAACCCAAAGAACTAAACGCCTACAAAAAAGGTACACAGATTCTAGAATGCTGCCCTATTTTATTCTGCACTCCAGGCCTTGTTTTCCCCCTACTTTCACTGTCTCTCTTGCCTTCCCTGAGTGTAGACAGCTTTGGAATAGTGCCTATGAGCATAGTCCTTGGAGATAGACTGCCTGGGCTCAGGCTTTTTGCACAATTTCAGACACATAACATAACGTGTCCCCTCTGCAAAGCTCTTTGTTGCTTGGCTATGAGACCGTGACTAGAGCTAGCATAGATGGGTCTTTCCAACCATAAAGTAAAAGCAACTTTAGAACTGAATTCCAGTATCTGCCCATGGGGCTTTGGGCAGATTTGGAATAGTATTACTAAGCTAAGTAGTGCTTTACATATATATCGCCTTGTGAAATCCACAAGATACCCATAAGAGATAGTGGCAAACTTTACACTAGTTATCCCCCAACTAATCATGCCTCCTAGGACCAGGGCCCCTGGGTAGTTTCCTCCCATAATCACTCTGGGCTTGGTCCTGTGCTTATTTTGGCCAATTTGATCAGCAAGTGTGAGATGAGTAGAGGCTTCATAGGTGTTTACACATCAAAGCTTGTACCCTTGGAATGCTGCCGCCGCTGCCCCGTGAGAAAGTCTAGCCTTCTTAAGGACGAAAGAGCTCATACAGCAAGGGAGGCCCGGCGGTTCCAGCAGAGCGCAGCTCCTGTATGATCTTCAGGCTGAACGCAGCTGCATGAATGAACCCAGGTCATACTAGCAATTGAACTAGCCTGCCAACTCACAGATCCATGAGAAATAATATGTTGTTGCTTTAAGTCACTACATTTCAGGGTTGTTTCTTGCTCTATGCTGCTGAGTACCTAAAACAGAAATTGATGAGTAGGGTGCTGACATAACAAAACCTTAAACCTGTGGCACTGCCTATAGGACCAGATGGTGGGCAGAAGCAGGACAGGCACTGAGGAAATTGTTCTTGGAGGCTGGAAAAAGGGTGGCCTGTATTGCTGAAACCATCAGCAAAACTGCCATCTGTAGTAATTAGTAAGGTAAAAAACACATATCTAATAAACCTGCAGGCCTGGCTACAGAAATTTCTGGGCAGAATGCTAAAAGCATCAATGAATTTTTCAGCTTCACATAGTAAATTGCAAGAAGAAAAAGGGATAAGTTAAGTACAAACCACTGAGTTTGAAGGCAGAACTTAGAGGAAACAAGGAGGGCCCAGGCTTTGTTAGGTTGGAAAGTAAAACTGTTCCTTATTTCCATTCTTTCTCACTGGCAAAGGATCTTCAAGGTAAGAAATGATCACAGGGTAAAGATTAATCAAGGATGTTGGAGTAAGGGCCTTTATTAAGACCTCTAAAAGACTTGAGGAAGTGCTAAGCAGACCCTACCAACTATACGGAAGGCTCCTAAGATTCATAGAAACCTGACTCCAAAGAACTCCAAGTAATTGAGGCCAGGCTGTCCAGTATGGTAGTCACTAGTCACATGCAGCAACTGGGCACTTGAAATGTGGCTAGTCTGAATTGGGATGTATTAGAAGGGTATAATGTACACTGCATTTCAAAAACCTAGTATGAAAAATATATAAAATATCTTATTAATAATTGTATATTGATTGAAGTGATAACACTGTAGATATATTGAGTTAAACTACGTTACTAGTCCATATCATCTAATACTCCTCTGACTTACTTATTAATCAGTAAGTTCTCTACCTGTTTCTCTTTATTCCTCAACTTAACTCCTTACTTGTTACTCCCCTCTCCAGCTTCTTTAAGCCATAGAACATGGCATTTCAGGTCTTCATAACTCTGACTGGAGGCTAATGCTGGAGTTAGCTGGCTCAGCATCCATTCTCAGACAGCTCAGTGATGAGAAGAAAGCGTAGTAACAGTACCCCCAAAACTTTTTGAGAGGGAACTACAAGTGAATTAAGCTCAATAAAGATTTGGACAACCTGGAATTGTAGGGAAACAAGTCCCTTGTTTGCTGCTGGTGGCAGTGCAAGGTTTTCAAGGAAAGAATCTGGCAATTTGTTGTTAGAGCTGTAAAGTTTGTCACACTATTTGACACAGTGATTTCTTCTTCAGAGACCATACCCTCTTAAAGGAAAACCAGAAGGATAAAATGAAGTTGTGTTCTTTAGTCCATTTCAAATGCTCAGTAATAAGGAATTGGCCTGAGTAACAGGCTATAAAACTATGTCAGCATAAGTAACAAGTATGTCATTTCACTGACACTGACCTGTGTCTATGAAATAAAATTATGTGAGAAACATAAAGTAGGACATATGTAAGTAGATACATATTGTTAAGATCAAGGTTTGGAAAATCTAAAGTAATACAAGTAGATTACTGCTGATTATGATATTGGGGGTTAATTTTTTCATATGAGCACCCTTTCTCCAGGAAGTCAGTTGTCTCCAAGATGAGTAGGAAATTATCAAGCTGATTTCCATTAACCCAAGAAGCACCCTCTGAATCTTCGTTTCCCCATTTACCAAATAGGTGTGATATACCTAAATCCCGGGATTGTGAAGATCAAAGGAGATAAGCCACCTGGGGACACTGTCCACAGGAAAAGGATTTATAATCAAGATGACATGGTGGAGACAGCATGGAGTAAAGAGAGCAACCTGGGCTTTGACATCGATCCCACATTCATATTTCACCTTCACCTAGTAGCTTAACTTTTTCTGAAACAGCTTTTTCCACCTCAATAGGTCTTTTTTCCTCACCAGGTTCAGTCAAGTTAAGTACTGCCTCATCTGTAAAGAGGTAAGTACCTGGCACATAGTAGGTACTCAATTAATATTAGTCTCCTCTATTTTTGTTGTCTTAAACCTCCAACTCTTTCATTCTCTTCAAGCAAAATACAAAACAAGAGAAACCCTTTGAAACTGGAAATAGGCAATATAAGGCCAAATTCCAGAGGAGATGGTGCTTCACTACTTCACTGCCAATTCACACAATAAAAAATCACTTATAAAAAGTCTAAAGAGATGGAATCTTGATGTGCTGCTCAAGTTAACTGAAGGGTCATCCAATGGTCTTGGTGCAGGGGCTGATCTAAGCCTACCCTTAGTCTTGTGAGACAAGAACCATATTATGGAAGAGTTGAAACAGGCAGGGGTTCCACATGTACCCCTTAGAAATGAGCCTGTGACATGACTTATGAATTGTGAAGCCCAAAAGCAAATAAACTGGAGACTTTCTAAACTCTTCCTCACAGCAGTTTCACACAGGTATTAGGAATGATAATTGATAAAATAGAGGCCATTCTGAAAGGAGGATTCCTCTTAGTTCCAGGTAGGCACTGAGGACTATGTTAGCTAAAAATCAATGAAAAAGTTCTAGTTATGGACACTCTCTGACTTCTCTTAAGGCTGGAGTCTGTCTCTAAAAACACCAGCACAGTGGAAACAGAAGATATGCTCCATTAGAATTCAAGTCAGTTCCAAATAGGACAGAAAGAACAGGGTGCACAGTCCTTGTTTGTAAACAAAGACAAAGATAAATGTTGGCTGCCAGACCTCAAAGGGAGGCATGACAGGCCACTTGCAGAGAGAAGCCGCAGGCAGCAGAGCAAGGCCTTTGGTCTCCCTGGTGGTCTCCTGAAGACCCTTCCACAGGCATCACAGGAGCGCAGGGGAATTAAGGAGGCCAGAGGGCATCTATACAAGCACCTCCTCATGGGCCTGTACTATCTTTTCTTGGCCAGTATTCAAGCTAAACTTGACTGCCACTCTCTTCACAGGCTGTGGTTGAGTGCTTTGGAGTCAGGCACTTGGATCTAAACCTCCAGCAGCAGGTAAATGGTTACACCTCAATTTCTTTGTGTAATGGGGATACTATAGTACTTTCCTCACAGGTGGTTGTAAAGAATAATGAGATCACGTATGTGAAGCCTTCAGAACAGTGCCTGGCCCATAGCCAGTTCTCACAAATGTTAGGTGCTATTATTATTTGTGCATTATTGCTGTGTATTTTGTCCCTTCTTTGTCGTTTGACCCATGGTAGCATTTCTCACCAATACTGAGGGACATGCAGAGTTTAGGGATCATCAGTGACACATTCAGTTTCATTTCCTGGAGTGGGAAATGGTGTTATTTATAGCAACCAGGAGAAGAAGCAACTATAGGTGGAAAGTGAACAGAAAGAGCATTTGCTGGTAATGAGGCAACGTTTATGTCTATGACCCATGCCTCTGGGTCTGCTTCAAGTCAGCTGAGGAGCCGGCCTCTAAGGACAGCAGAGGGCCCAGTGCTAGCATGCAAGGAAGTTCAGTCACATTTGTTGAGGTCCCAGGGACCATTTACACCTGATACAAAATGAAGAAGATAATCCCCTGGAGGATACCCAGAGGAGAGTCTTATAAAGGAGAAAGGGTCTGCCCCCTCCCAAATACCCCTTCCTCCCACCAGGGCATTAGGGAGAGAGCTGGGCAGAGAAGATCTTGCTCCTGCCTTAGAGGCTGCATGGCTTCAGGCCCAGCTTCCAGAGAGTGAGAGCCAGCATCTCCCTCACCCAGGGAACTCAGGAATCACAAACAGGACCCACATCTTATAGTAGTGCCCTTCTACTCCTTGGCCTCTGAGAACTGGATTTTAAGGAAGCTTGAGAGGTACTGCTTATTTTCAGTAGGGTGTCATTTCCAACTGGAAGACAATATATATTCTTCTAGCAAGTCAGTGTGCAAGCAGGTCAGGTACTCTGGGCCATCTTAGGATCCCATCTTAGGAGTACAGTAATGGCACTAAAACTCCGGAGCTATCTCTCTTTTGTGATACTAATAAAAGGTATGTAAAGGTTGTGGAAGAGGAAATTCAGCATGACATATAGTCCAGAGCCTAGCACAGTGCCTAGAACACAGAAGGTGCTGATGTTTGCAGAATACGTGATTACTGACATGCATTTTAAAATAACCCAGCATCTGTCTGTAACGCAATACATCAGAAGGGTGTCTCCGCTTACCCCCAAAGCCCACATCATCTCTCTCACACGTGTGCACACACACACACACACACACACACACACACACACAATGCAAAACAGGAGATAACCTCAATATTGGGTCATTTAAAAAGTGATGTAATCACACAGTTAAAAATTATTTTCTGAGAACTGATTCTCTGGTGGCCAACTTACAAACTTAGTTTGCTCTTAAAAAGTAGACCTAAAAATTCTCATAAAACTCCATTTTGTTCTTTTCCATATTCCCTTTATTACTTCCTTCTATCATGCATGCATCCTATTTTGGTTATATGACCCTGGGGATCTGGCTACAACAACTCTGTAACAGCTCCTCACACTCACCTTATGCTTTCTTGTCTAGTGTTACTAAGTTACACTCCTTATAAGAAATGCATGACCTGAAATACATAAAAATCTTTTGCGATGCAGAGGGTGAATATGTAACTGATACTAAGGTAACTGACACCTACTCAGTATTTCTCAGTCACCTAATAACTTCCTTTTGAAAAACTTACTGTGGTGCCTTACAAGAAGTCAACTGATGAACCCTTGAAAAACTTAGAATAAAACAATGCATCAAAGGGTGCCTGTCGTCTGGTCAGATCTTCATCTGTTTTCGTGAGGGTTCTTAACTAAGGTGATTGTGTGTCTGGAGTATGGGACACATACATATGTAAATGTGAACACTAAATGAAAATCCAGAGAACACAGATGTCGCCTAATTCATCAGGACATGAGTTTCCCTGGCACTGACTACAATGGCTATTATGCCAGATAGCCCAAGGCACCCCCCCCCCGGAAAGAGACCATGAGATAGGTTCTCTAACAGTGGGACAAATACTCTCATTAGCTTGAGATGGTTTACAGACAGAAATTGTATTATTTAAAATCTTTGGTGATTCTGCTATGCCCAATACACTGACATTTAACATTAAATTTGCCTTCAAACTATATTTTATGAAAAACAAAGGGTTAGAACAACCATTCTTTTCCTACCTGCTGCTGTAGCCACCCGAAGCCAAGCTGCTGCTCCCCGAATGGAATAGACTCCAGGATTCAGTCTTCAGTTTCCTGCCCTGGAACCAGAACCATCAAAAGAAAACTTGCAATTGCTATGAGCAAGCAGATTGTTTAGTTCCAACCAATTATCCCATGGCTTAGTAAGTGCCAGAGTAGGGTGCCTAAGAAAGGATGTCTGGGGAGGAAGGGATAGAGTTTGGGGGAACGAGAGGAGAGTTCTCAAGGCAAGAGTTAGTTCATCCAATACTCTTCTTTCAAGGAGAAGAAAGCCCTCTTATTCGGCTTTCGTTTCTTACAGAAGATCTGCCACTGCATTACTCACAGATAATTGCTACATTGCCCCTTCACAAACAGGAGACATACTTCTTTGGCAAGCCTCTAGGTTTGCAATGCATGCCTGTACCTGTCCTCAGGGATATCATAGTGCCTGGGAAAACTGAGAGGGCAATGAGCCCTCCTAAAGGGAAGACCCAGTCTAGACTATTAATCAAGTCCAGGGGATAAAAATATACCACAAAAGAAGAGCAGAGGCTGGTATGAGCCCCTCCATCCATAGGACGTCCACTTT